TTTTGGAGAAGTCTTTGGAAGCACATAAAAATTTAATTTTTAGAAGGTCCCAATCATCTGGCTTCTCTTCTGCTGTTGGTGCATTTTGAATTATGCTTGATAGTCTATTTATACCATATATTAGGGCCCTTAAGTTTGACCCTAAATGATACTGACATTTTTTAAGAGTGTAAGCCACTTTGGCTATGTTTAAATTTTTCTATGTATGTTATGTTGTATGTTTTAAATGAGAATTAATAATTGAGGATCCTAGTTTCTACTGGGTGTTATACCTTTGTTTTGATGAATGGCTCAAAATATTCTTTTTGAAAAAGCTGCTTTTATATTATGCTTTGTAAAATGCAAACTGTAATGACAGTTTTAAAGTATTTTTACTTTTTACTTTTTACTATTTCAACTTTACACAAAGTGGACATAATAGTATAAGGAACCTCTGTGTACCCTTACCCCAGGTTGAACAAATAATATTTTGGCATCTTGTTTGAATTTTCCTCAACACTTTTTTCTTGCTGATTTTTAAAGCAACAATCCTAGTCTCCAACAGATGAAAACTTTTTAAAAATCAATCACAATACAAAAATCAATCACATCCAACAAATACAATACCTTAATATTATACAATACTCATTGTTTCATTTGCTGTGTCTCAAAAATGTTTTTTATAATTGTTTTATTTGAACTAGGAACCAAATAAGGTCCACACATTGCATTCGATGATAAGTCTTTTAAATCTTTTTAAATCTTTAATAGCTCCTTTTTGAATTTTGACTTTTATGGGTAGAGGCTAAGTCATTTGTTCTCTAGAATTTCCCACGTTCTGGATTCGTCTGATTATATCTCTATGGTATCTTAAACATGTTCCTTTGTCCTCTATAGTCCCTGTAAACTGGTAGGTAGATCTAGAGGTTTGATTACATTTGGGTTCACGTTTTGGGTTTTTTGTTTTTGGTAGGAATACTTGCTGGATATCACATATAGACTTAAAGTCTTTAAAATTTAGTGTATATCATGTGGGGAATTTATTTACGGAAGAAACTGGGAGAGAAACAGCAGTACTATATCTGGTTATTATTTCCTAGCCAGAAGATCAGCTGCCATGTTACTTGACTCACACCAACTCTAAAGTGGATGACATTGTCCTCAAGAACCTTCACCTTAATAGTCATATTAAGGAAACTACAAGGGGGCCTCGGTAAGGGCAAAATATCTTTATCAGTTGCTTAAGAAATGATGTCAACCCTCTTTTTTTTTTTTTTTTTGCTTAATTCAATTTTTTAATTTCAATGTCCTATTATAGATACTGCCCCTCCATTGAATCAAAGGTTTTGCGTTTTCCAAACCGTGTGCATCAGGTGTGGTTGGAGCCTGAAGGAATGGATTCTGACCTTATCTACCCCCAAGGTTTATCTGTAACACTACCAGCAGAGTTACAGGAGAAAATGCTCACATGCATCAGAGGCTTGGAGAAAGCTAGGATGATTCAGCCAGGTAAAGAGGGTCATAGCTTCTTTTGGTGTACACTCAGCATCATTTTAGCAGGCAGTGTGGAGGTCTTTTAAATATGGTCATGGTTGCTTAGAGCCAAGGAGGATAAAGCCCAACATATGTGCATTTAAAATACTCCCATTTTGAAGAGTGTTTAATGATAATCTTTTCATCTTTACCTTCAGCTCCATTATTACTTATTTTATACCATTTATTCTTTGGTTAGGCTATGGCGTTCAGTATGATTACTTTGACCCCCGTCAGATCACTCCTTCTCTCGAGACTCATTTAGTTCAACGGCTCTTCTTTGCTGGACAGATAAATGGCACCACTGGTTATGAGGAGGCTGCAGCTCAAGTAAGAGATTGTTCAAATGTTACTATAAACACATAGAAACTATTTAGCTGGTGCTTCTCCTTTTAATGTCTGTTTTGTGAACTGTAGATCTTAGATACACTCCTAACTATCAGAAGAGTATTTCTTTCAAGGTATATGGAAATGTCTATTGTATAGAATAGGACTTCAGAATACTTGTGGCTTTATTATTCTGTTCTGAGCTTTTAGATCTGATATAATATTTTGATTAGATTTATCATATTGCATCCGAAGTTTAAAAAAAGACTAATCCTTTCAGTATAACTTTTTTTGATTATCATTTTTATTTTTTGTAAGTGCTGAGTTGTTATTCGTAAGTGGGAAAAGACTAGAAAAGTCTCGCAGATGGGTTTTGTAAAAAAAGACTAGCCTCACCTAGGCTTATTGGGAATATTAGATATATACCTTTTGTTTCTGTATGTGGATTATGTTTTCTATATAATACATCACTTGTGGGCAGTGTCTGCTTTTTTGCTGTTCCATGCTGTTTTTTCCAGGTGGTATTCTGAGTAGGGTAGCTCTTTGATCAGTTCATAATGGCCTTTTAAAACATTTTAGTCCTCTTGTAGGGTGTGGTAGCTGGAATCAACGCCAGTCTTCGGGTCAGTCACAAGCCTCCTTTTGTCATTAGCCGAACAGAAGGCTACATAGGCGTTTTGATTGATGACCTCACTACATTGGGCACCAACGAACCATACCGCATGTTTACTAGCCGAGTGGAGTTCCGTTTGTCACTGCGCCCTGATAATGCTGACAGCAGGCTCACATTCCGAGGTAATTCATTCTCTGAGTCCTGCCAACTGGTTTACTCTTCTTTAAAACTTCTTTCATTATATTCTTTCTCCTTCTCCTAGGGTATAAGGAAGCTGGCTGTGTGTCCCAACAGCGATACGAAAGGGCTTCTTGGATGAAGTCTTCTTTAGAAGAAGGCATTTCTGTGCTGAAATCTGTTGAGTTTTCAAGTGCTAAATGGAAAAAGTTAATCCCAGAGGCTTCTATAAGTATTAGTAAAAGTCTCTCTCTCAGGTATGCATTTTTAATATAGACTTTTCTCATGTTTTACTGAAAAATGAGATCATTTCAGTCATTAGCTATATACTCCACACCTACACGTTTTAAATGAATGTAGCTTGGGGGCAGCCCAGAAGCCGAGCTGGGTGCTTGGGGGTTTTGGGAAGTGGCTTCAAGGGGCGGCCAGGAAGGGGAGCCGGGCGTAGGGTTTGGAACATCTTTAAAGGAGGCCAGGATGTGAGTGGAGCAGTTTGGAACAGCTAAAGGAGACAAACTTGTCTGTCAGTTTGTCGTCCTTTTGTGGCTTGTGTATTGCTGTGAGGCTGGAGGCTATGCCACTGGTGTTGCAAATGCCAGTAGGTTTACCTGTGGTGGACAGGTTCAGCGAAGCTTCCAGACTGGGACAGGCTTGGAAGAAGGAAGAGGCCATCCATTTCTCAAAGATTTGGCCAATGAAAACCTTATGAGTAGCAGTGAAACACTGTCTGATAGATTACTAGAAAACTTTTATAAATAGCTCTGCAACATTGTCCAATATACTGCCAGAAGATGAGCCCCTCAAGTTGAAAGGCACTCAAAATACAACTGAGGATTGCCTACTCAGAGTACACCTGACCTTAATGATATAGATGGAGTAAAGCTTTCAGGACTTCCATTTTCTGATGCAGCAGGACTCAAGATGAGAAGAAACAGCTGTAAACATCCATTAATAATTGAACATGGAATGTATGAAGTAGGAAAATTGGAACTTGTCAAAAATGAAATGGAACATATAAAGATTGATATTCTAGGCATTAGTGAGCAGAAATGGACTGGTTTTGGCCATTTAGTATCAGATGACCATATGATCTACTATGCTGGTAATGACAGATTGAATAGGAATGGCGTGGCCTTCATCATCACAAAGAATGTTTCAAGATGTGTCCTGAAGTACAGTGCTGTCAGTGATAGGATATCCATATGCCTACAAGGAAAACCAGTTAATACGACTATTATTCAAATATATGCAACAACCACCAAAGCCAAAGTTGAGGAAATTGAAGATTTTTACCAACTTCTGCAGTCTGAAATTGACCAGACATACAATCCAGATGTGTTGATTATTACTGGTGATTGAAATGCAAAAGCTGGAAACAAAAAAGAATAACTAGTAGTTGGAAAATATAGCCTTGGTGATAGAAATAATGCTGGAGATTGCAGGATAGAATTTTGTAAGACCAATGTCTTACTCATTGCAAATACCTCTTCTCAACAACACAATTGGTGGCTATACATGAGGACTTCACCAAACAGAGGACACAGGAATCAGGTTGACTACATCTGTGGCAAGAGGCGATGGAGAAGCTCAGTATCTTGAGCCAAAACAAGGCCAGGAGCTGATTGTGGAACAGACCACCAACTGCTCATATGCATGTTCAAGTTGAAGACAATTAAAGCAAGTCCACAACAGCCAAAATATGACCTTAATTATATCTCTCCTGAATTTAGAGACCATCTAAAGAATAGATTTGATGCATTGAGCACAATGACTGAAAACCAGAGTAGTTGTGGGATGACATCAAGAACATCACCCATGAAGAAAGCAATAGGTCATTAAAAAGATAGGAAAGGAAGAAAAGACCAAAATGGATGTCAGAAGAGACTCTGAAACTTGTCCTTGCAACCAAATGGAATAAATGACAAGCTAAAAGAGCTGAACAGAAGATTTCAAAGAGCAGCTCGAGAAGACAGAGCCAATTATTATAATGAAATGTGCAAAGACCCGGAGTTAGAAAACCAAAAGGGAAGAACACGTTCAGCATTTCTTAAGCTGAAAGAATTAAAGAAAAATTTAAACTTCAAATTGCAATATTGAAAGATTCTGTGGATAAAATATTGAATGATGCAGGAAACATCAAAAGAAGATGGAAGGAATATATAGAATCACTGTAGCAAAAAAAAAAAAAAAAATTGGTCGATGTTCATCCATTTCAGGAGGTGGTATATAATCGAGAACCAATGGTACTGAAGAAAGAAGTTGAGGCTGCGCTGAAGGAATTCACGAAAAACAAGGCCCCAGGATTTGACAGAATGGCTATTGAGATGTTTCAACAAATGGATGCCACACCGGAGGCAGTCACTTGGCTGTGCCAAGAGATTTGGAAGACAGCTACATGGCCAGCTGACTGTAAGAGATCCAGATTTGTCCCATTCCAAAGAAAGGTGATTCCACAGAATGTGGAAATTACCAAACAATATCAATCAATGTCACATTCAAGTAAATCTTACTGAAGATAATTTAAAAATAGCTGCAGCAGTATACTGACAGAGAACTTCCAGAAATGCAAGCTGGATTCACAAGAGGACATGGAATGAGGGATGTCATTGCTGGTGTCTGATGGATCTTGGCTGAAAGCAAAAAATACCAGAAAGATGTTTACTTATGTTTTATTGACTGTTCTGGTTACCTAGTGCCACTCTAACAAGAAATTCACCACAAATGGGATGGCCTTAACAAACAGGAGTTTATTCTGTTACAGTTTGGAGGCTTTAAGTCCAAGTTCAAAGTGCCAGGCTCTAGGGGCTGAGTGAGAGCCCTTCAGTCTTGGGTTTCAGTTCTTCCTCTAGCTTCTGGCCCACTGAAGTTGGAGGCTTTTCTTCACTCAGACAGCTGCTGGCTGCTGAGGCTGCCAAGCTCAAAGTTGACAAGTAAAAAGGCACAGTCCCGATGTTACCAAACCACACAGCAGGCCATTAATTCAAGTCCATTGTAAGTCCCAAGGTCGGCAGAGCATGGCAGGCTGCTGAACGGCAACATGGCTACGTGCAGGGTCCAAGCGTGCCATAAGCTAGAGACTATACCCAAGGCTTCTCCTTATATGCAGGAACCAGACCTACATCTCAAAGGCAGCTACTCAGCTACTTGTGGTAGATCCCACCATGGAGTTGATTGCCAGTCTCATCATGGGTAATAACTGCCTCCAGCTGCCCAGCCACTCAACCAGGCCCAGCCAAGTTGAAATACAAATTTAACTACCACACTGACTATGCAAAAGCATTCAGTTGTATGGGTCATAACAAATTACGGATAACATTGAGAAGAATGGGAATTCCAGAACACTTAATTGTGCTCATGAGGAACCTGTACATAGACCAGGAGGCTGTCGTTTGAACAGAACAAGGGGATACTGCATGATTTAAAATCAAGAAGGGAGTGCATCAGGGTTGTTTCCTTTCACATACTTACTCAATTTGTATGCTGAGCAAATAATCCGAGAAGCAGGGTTATGTGAAGAACGTGGCATCAGGATTGGAGGAAGGCACATCAACAACCTGCTATATGCAGATGATACAATTTTGCTTGTTGAAAGTGAGGATGACTTGAAGCACTCGATGAAGATTGAAGACTACAGTCTGCAGTGTGAATTACACCTCAATAGAAAGAAAACAAAAATCTTCACAATTGGACCAATAAGCAGCATCACGATAGATGGAGAAAAGATTGAAGTTGTGAAAGACTTCATATTACTTAGTTCTACAATTAACACCAATGAAAGCAGCAGTCAAGCCATCAGAAGATGTATTGCATTGGGCAAATCTGCTGCAAAAAACCTCTTTCAAATGCTGAAGAGCAAAGATGTCTCCTTGAAGACTAAGGTGCACCTAACCTGAGTCATGGTATTTTCAGTTGCATCTTATGCATGTGAGAGCTGGACAGTGCATAAGGAGGATCGAAGAAGAGTTGATGCTTTTGAGTTGTGGTTTTGACAAAGAATACTGAGAGTGCCATGGACTGCTAAAAGAACTACCAAATCTATTCTGGAAGAAGTGTAGCTAGAATGCTCCGTGGAAGTGAGAATGGCCAAACTTCATCTTACCTACTTTGGTCGTGTTGTTACTAGGAACCATTCCCTGGAGAAGGGTATCATGCCTGGTAAAGTGGAGGGTCAATGAAAAAGGATAAGACCCTCAACTTGATGGATTGGCACAGTGGCTGCAACGATGGCTTTGGGTATAGCAAGGATCTTGAGGATGGCACAGGACCGGGCGGCATTTTGTTCTGTTGTACCTAAGGTCTCTATGAGTCAGAGACAACTTGATGGCACCTAACAACAACAACAGGCTTGCTTTTGGCTTCACTTTAATTGAACAGTAAATATACCTTTGAGATTCTTGACAAAGAAAAACAAAAACCATTCTCATTCTGATAAAATTATGCTGATTCTTCATGACACACTTTCTTTTGGCTTTAGACTCCTTTTAAAGATCATGATAGTTTTTATTTAGGCCATTGAATAATATGTTTTGTGAAATGCTTTTTTTTTTTTTTACTTTCTTATATTCTAAGTATATTTTAAGTTTAGAAATGTTGTTTCAAAGGGAAATTGGGTGTTCAATCACTGAATCTGTTCTTAAGTTTAATATATCAGCCTCATAGGGATAGCTCTGGCCTGCAGAATCAAAGCAGGTAAATTCTGTGAAAGTTTTCATTATTTTAAATTGATTTCTCAGTGAGAGGCTTCAGTAATTAGTGGTGAAATAATATATCCAAAATTAATTTTTTTCCTTCATATAAATTAGATTGAGAGATACAGTGTTGACTTCTGTTAAAGAAAGTCCTATAATGCTTTCATTAATTTCAGCAGATGTTTATTGGGTGTGTCATGTGTTGAAATACCAAATCCAAACCCACTGCCATTGAGTTGATTCTGACTTATAAAGACCCTGTAGGACAGAGAGAACTGCCCCATAGGGTTTCCAATCTTTATGGAAGCAGACTGCTTCATCTTTTTATCACAGAGTAGCTGGTAGGTTCAAACCGCAGACCTTTGGTTAGCAGCCCAATGCCTTCACCGCAGTGCCACCAGAATGTTGGTATAGTAAGGTGTGAAACTTCATATTCCTGCCTTCGTGAAACTTACAGGCATTAAAAATGCATACATATTAAACATGTTTATGAATTACAACACGTTCATGAAGGAATCTCGAGGGTACTGTGAGAGGATAACTGGGTGAGGGTAGGATCAATAGTATAT